CAAAGAGGGTGACATTTAAACAAGGAATAGAGGAGAATTTCCATAAATCTTGATCTTTGGCCTTTGACCCTGACACGAACATACAGACACACAAACTAATTTTTTTCATAGGACCCTCGTTTCAGTCGAGGGAATACACATGATAATTGTACACAGGTTTTTCTTTTTAATAAAACTCACATCAACACATGATATTATTATTAGTTCGATATTGAGAATATGGGTGTGTTTTTTAATTCGTTAATGCAAATCTATACTCATACCTTCAGGTTTTTTTTTTCATACAGATTGTAAATCTATGGTAAAGATGCGAGTATGAATTGTAAACAAAGACACATCAACATCCGCACCCACAGTTCGCACCACAAATTTGTAGTGAAAGTTATTAAGAAGCTTTCAGGAGACTACCACATGTACAACATAACATCTTGAAACAATTATATATTTTGAAATTATGCAACAGGATCATACAAAAAAAATTGTAACGTCAAATAGAAGAATCAGGTATCGAGATAAGATATATCATGTGCCTACTATCTTTAAATTTTGTAAAAAAAAGGCACAGAAAAAGAATAGAAACCATTGTCGTCTTTTATCTGTAAGAACATTTTGCGTGATCATCAAAAAGATAATGTGAAATGCAGAACTACGATGAAAGTATATATACTGGTAATTTTGATATCTTTTCGAGTAAAAAGTATTTTACATGTACTCGTCCAAGGTCTGATGAAATATTTATTTCAATTCATACGATACATCTCAGACAATCGTACCATCTTAGAATTATAATTATTCGATATTTGTTACGAAGCTTTCCATTTCGTTCAACTATTTTTATTATAGATAGTTTTGTAACACTTTAGACATGGAATATACAATAACAACTTTTGTTCTGTTATTGTTTTGTGTGATCAATATGCAATGTATAGTTGTTCAATCAGTAAATCCACAATTTGTCATTCGTGATAATACAAGTGACTTCGTCCTAGGAATTCTCGACCACAAAGGAACAGTCGCGAATATTCATCCCAACTTGAACGAAACCATCTTCAGTTTTACTGTAGACGATACATGGCCGATTAATCGTACTCAAGCACGATACCATAGTACAGGAGATATCACACTCCGCATTCGTCGAGCCAACTCAACAGATGCGTATCAAGAATTCTCAACGACTGATGCTTATGGAGGACCAGCCCGTGTCGTACAAGTAGCTGATTCATTAATAGCATATGATGTAACTCCTCTATTAAATCCTGGACACGGACTTAATATTCAACGAATTTACAAGCAGTCGCCGGACCCTAATGGAGGTTTTATCATTCAAGTAAATGTGACAAATACTCAAGTGTATGCACAGCAATTGGGTGCATTGGGTATGTCAATGGTTTTTAACAATGACTGGTCTGGTCTGGATCTGAAGACAACAGCACAACATTGCAGCATTACAGAGCCGTACATTGGTCAAGATAATGCGTGGGTAAAGGTCACACGGATAAGTGGTGAAGGGCCCATTCTAGTGGTACTCCCATCCGATAACGGTGGAATGAATGCGTGGCGTCCGCTTCTGACTGATCCTACACCTCGGTCTGCTACTTTCGAGGGTTTCTATGAGTATACATTTCTAGCTGATGCTTATCGTATGAACGAGTGGAAAGCTGTGCCCGACGAGCGACTATGGACGCTTACAAATTCTATTGTGCTACAACCGGGTGATTCTGTCATCTATGGGCTTCATATGCGATTACTTCCTAGTGTGAGAGGTGTCGAAAGTGGTCTTGCACAGATGCAAAAACTGGTTGTGAAGGTCGTTCCTGGATATGTTGTCGGTGTTGATATGAAGAATGTCACGTTGCATGTATTACCTGGTCGATATAAAATAATTAAAATCAATGTCAGCAACAATAACATTATGGGTATTAGTAATACCTCTACAATACTAACATCTAATTGGCAAGCGTATCAACTATATCCGCTTACTTATGGCCGTGTACGCGTCATTGTACATTACAGTGATGATAGTGAACTTGAATATCAACAGGTGGTGAATATGTTTGTGTTGCCATCTTTTCGTACACATGTTCAAACATTCGGTGAATTCAACGCAAAGTATCAATGGTACGATGATCCGACAGATCCATTCGGTCGAAGTCAATCTATTATGCCGTATAATTGGTATACACAACAGCTGGTGCTTCAAGAAAGACGTTCTTTTGTTGTCGGCCTTAGTGATGAATCCGGTGCCGGTCCAGGACTTGGTTTTGCCGTCAAGAATCAGTACGCTCCCGACCCAGATCAGGTGCATCTGTTAGATCTGTACATCAATAACACATTGTTCGGCAGCAAAGGCCCCAGTAAGTATGTGCCGTTCGAGACACGTGTTCAGTGGAGAGACTACACAGTCGTTGCTAGTACCTTTTGGTATCCTGGTATGCCAGGCTACAACTATACCGTTAATGATGGTTGGGACCAGAAGCGTGCGAACACGACGTGGCGCTCGTATAATTACGTACATCCTACAGCAATATACTATTCGTTATATCGAATCGCTCGTGACAATCCTAAGATGACTACTCTAAATACATGGTCATGGTATTTAATGCAAGCATATCGAACTTATGTAGCTATGGGACAATTCGCCTCTTACTATGCTCAATTTGGATTGATGGTAGGATCAGTTTTCTTACGTGTATTAGATGCTTTACAAGCTGAAGGCTATACTGCAGAATTTGAGAAAATGGTAAAACTAGAAAAAGCACGAGTAGCTGTATGGCAGTCGCTACCATTTCCATTTGGTTCGGAATTCCCCTGGGACAGTACTGGCCAAGAAGAAGTTTATCTAACAGCCCAATACTTTGGTTTGTACAAATTATCTAACAGTACACTACAAGCCGTATTAGCTTATACGCATAGCGTTCCAAATTGGGGCTACCATGGTGCAGCAAGACGTTTTTGGGACTATGTGTACAATGGTTGTGAAGAACTGAATAATGGAATAGAACGAGTGTTGCATCACTATGGTTCTGGTCTCAATGCTCTTCCAATATTGCATGCATATGATTTGAATCCGGACGACATTTATTTATTGGAAGTCGGCATCGGTAGCATAACTGGACCATTAACAAATATTCAGTTAAATGGTGCAAGTAGCATGGGTCTGCACGGCGATCCGCGCAAATTAATACATGACTATTGGGATGCTGATTATGGTATGGCATTCTATGGACTCGCTTCTTTACAAACTGCTTATGCTGTCAATCATACTACGCTTGGTAATGCGGTCTGTTATTTATGCGATCTTACAGTGTCAACGGAAACTAACGTGTGGAATGTGATACCACGTGATGCATTTCATCGCCGCGTTTATATCGAACCTTTAGGAACCGCATTCTTATTGGATGTAGGTACGATTGAATCAGTCGTAGTGGATTGGCGTGCGCAATCGGTCGTGATAGTCTTGAGTGCAGTTCAATCTCCTGTGCCATTTACAGTCTATCGTCTGCATGTAAATCACTTGGCTTCATGTAATGCACGTATGGCCTGTGATCTTCTAATAGTATCACCTCCTAATCCACCTGTAGTGCGAGGTGCATTCGAAATACCAGTTCAGCCATATCCTCAGACTATGTCAGTCAAATTGCAATGGGGTGGGAAACATGATTGGATTTAACATATCATTTCCACATCACATCAAACTGCTTAAAAATGAATTTTAAATTAAAAATATAAACCGTGATCATTCGCATATATAGTTATTTTAGGAAAAGCTGGAAATTAGATTCTTTCTGTGTAGTTTTATTTAACTGTTTTCTTTCGAATACTTTACACATTAATTCTGCTACCTTTGATTCATAATTCACCAAAGAAAGATTCCATTTCAAATTAATTCAGAAAATGTATATATTGAAAAAAGGATACAAGGTAATGAATAAAAATCTGTTACTTCTGAGACATTTTAGAAAAAATATAGAAACGAAAAAATTGACATCTGCAGTTACAGAGATTTATCTCCTTGTATTAATATGGAAATAACTTGTGCCATACTTTTTCCAAGTTCTATTCTTAATATTTTGAAGTTCGATTTTGACATCGTCACACAAATTTCAATTTGAATTAGATGGTTTTTTATAATAATTTTATGTTCTATTGATTTAATTAATATAGTTTTGTTCAATAATAAAATTTGAAAAGAAAAAATAATTGAATCACTAGATGTGAATTCAATTTATCTGGATTATCAATGAACCATATTCACATTTGGCTTGTTGGCCACATCACAGCCAAATAGTGGCCAAAAAGCAACGATTTATACAACTGTTCCATTCTCATTAACAACTTTTCTATCGCTACTTTGTCCGTATCTATCTCTCCTTTTCGTCTTAATTTATCTCTTTGATGTTCCTTCCTCTCTTCTCTCTACTGTCCATCTTTCCTTTTTGATGATGATCTATTTAATTGGATAGCAATTGACAGAAAGAGGAAAAGATCAAAAGAAAAGACAGGAGCGAAGAGAAAAGTTATGTTAATAATGACGACGATGGTTGATTCAAATGAATAGAATAAATTTCAAAGTTATTCAAATCTTCGAAGACTTTGCTTTTGGAGGTGAAAACAAGTTGCTCTTCATACGGAACGTACACGAGCTCATTGATAAGCAACGATGCGTTATAAACAATGTTCAACTTCGCAGATAGAATTGATTCAGTTGTATCGATTTCCATTCGATAGATAGCATTTCTTTCACTCGGTTTGACCTGCCGATAATTAATTACATCTTTCCATTCTTTTCGATATGCATCATCATCTTCTTCTTTGGATGATAATCCCTGTATTACAATGTGGAGAACTTCGTCACTATTCGACCATGCCGCAAATGATGGTTGAATATTCTGGATTTGAACGGGAATAATTTTGCTTGTACTGACTGAATAAAAATACATGTACTTTTCGGCTGCTTCTGATTTTTCTAATGAACACCGCGAAGTATTCGCTATCAAATGATTATTGATGAAAAATGCGATCCATTTTCCACTCGGTGACCACATTGAAAACAAAAAAAGTCAGTTGAATCTGTGGTAATCAATCGTTTTTATTGTCCACGAATGTCATACAGCCATAAATTTCGTACATAGGAATTCTTTTCCCACCATGGCCTCATATCTTCATAGAATAAATGTTCACCTGTTGGAGAAATACTGACAGTTGGATAATCAACATAATTAAAAAATTCATCTTATGTTAATTTTAGTTTATTTTCTGCAAACAAACACGAAAATAATTGAAGAATAAGCACGACGAACAACATGACTGTAGATGAAGGTTCGCAACGATCTCAACATTATATTTATATTCAAATGTTATTTTCAAAAACGAAATTCTTTTTCTTTTCATTACTCTTATCTTATTTCGATTTTCTTTCGCGTCATCATGCTGATGCAAATATTTATCATAGATTAACGCTAATCTATTCGTTTCGATTAAAGCCAACAGATAAAATTGATGGGTACAATGCACTTCACCTTTTTTTGTTCTACATAGTGTTTCATTCGAGACAATGTATGAGAAATGACAGAGCAAAAGAAACGCTCATATGATTACTTAGAATGACAACGCGTCGTATATACACAACGAGGAACAATCGTTTGCCTCTGATATTTGTGTATCTTCGTTACAACGAATGTAGATCGACGCTTTCACCTCACGAAGATTAGGAAAACTGATGATATTTGGCACTTAATTCTTCAACAGTGAATGTCAATGATACAAATAAAGGAGATTAAAACTCTATAGAAATCAACATTTCTTATAGCCTTCGTTTATATTAAAAATTATTTTCTCTTGTGAGTAGCAAAACGATGTTACGCCGCCCATGATATTTTCCAATGAAAGGTTCACGCAGTCAAATAATGTTGAAAATCGCAAATGAAGATTTGTTGATGAGAAACTATAGAATTTCACGTTTTCATCGGTGTTACCATAAATCGTAGGTATGGAATGCAAGTTATTTTAAATCAAAATAAATCCTTTCTGTTGACGATTAATACATAATCTCGAATACTCATTTTGTCATGTAACCATCCTAAATATCACGATTCTATTATAAGAGTATTCAAAGGAAGTACAACTGATTTCATCACCAGGCACTTTTAATTCCGTCAGATATGCTGATGAGAAAACTATCAATAAGATTTGTGCAAATTGCATTGAATTCTCATTTGTTCATCTAATGAAATGTCAGTATTCGTTCGTAGATTTTATCTTCATATTGCTGCAAGGAAGAAAAATCTTGTTTGACGAAGATGAGAAACTTCATGAATATACTTATTCAAATCTTCGCAACAATATTTCTTTTTTTTTCATTATACTTTCATTATTTAAAAAGAGTCAAATACGCTGAGCGATTGTCAAGTGTTCAACGGTATTTTCTCAAGGAGTAAAACTTATGCTTCCACCGTCTTATTCGACTTCACTGATAATTCTTTGAAGTATATGAATTTTCTCTAAACTAATTAACAAGAAAATTGACTTACATGTTTTTCTTCTTGTCGAATAATCTTTTACTCTTTCCTCATATTGTAGAAAGTCATAAATTATTAATATTCACCACAAAAGTCCAATCTTCAAATGAACACACACAACCAAACATCGAACAATTCGTTGATTTTTGAAGAAAATTCCTCTCGAATAGGTGTAAAACAACGTATGATAACTATTTCGTTATTAGGAATATGTCTTATTCCATCATTTATTTGTTTTCTTTTCATTTTTTATTATTTCATTCGCTTACGCAAAACTTTACTTTTTGATCGCATAAATCATCATGTGATTTTATGTATTTTAATTTGTGATTTCCTCATAATTACAACTGAATTACCATTTACATTTCAATATTTATCATTGGGATATTTTCCAAAATCGAATCTTTGTCCAATCTGGATATTTTGGGATTACACATCTGAAGCACTTCCTTTGTTTTTAACAATGTATGCCTCAATAGAACGTTATTTCTTAGTATTTCATAAACCTTGGATAATAAATCACAAAATTTTATTTCATTATATTCCAATGGCGATGGCATGTTTATACACAATCGGTATCAATTCATATCTTGTTTTATTCATTCCATGTGAAGAAAGTCGTGTATATGATGTAGATGTCTTTGTTTGTGGAGGCGCATGTTATTTTAGTGATTTTCTACCGAATATTTATGATACAATTGTGGATGTCATGGTACCACCTTTTATTATTTTGATTTTTAATTTATTGATTATAGTTCGGGTTATTATTCGTAGACGAAATGCCTTAACAACAGTTTTAGTACCGAATATTTTGAGAAAAAATCGACGAATGATTTTACAGTTATTGGCAATTAGTCTTTTAAGTTTAGCAATATGGATGCCTTGGGTTGTGATTACCTTAGGACAAGATTTCTATGATCCATCATTTGCTCAACAATTCATCGATATTATTATTCATTATTTACCATATTTTTCTAGCTTTGTATCGCCATTTTTAGCACTAATTGGTTTACCAGAAATTCAAGCAAAATTCAAGAAATTTAATATAAAACCAACAATGGCTTTGAATACGATTAATCCAACGAATGCATGAACACGATTAGCAGCGCTTGTACATCGTTTATTTCTTTGATTCAATAAATTTATACAACGTATATATTGCATTACGAGACATTGAAGTTGAAATGCTTCAAAAATAGAGTTACATTGCATTTGTTTACTTTTATTAGCTGTAAAAAAATGATTCAGAAATACTTGATGATGTAATATAAATCATTTCAAATATTTTGATTCATTTCTCTTTTCACGTTTTTTGTTTCTATGTTGAAGACTATCAAAAGGCGCACATTTTTTTCCCATCGCAATGAGTGACAAAACATTTTTGACGGTACCCATCGAACTGGTCTATCGAATATTCGATAATCTTACTAATTATTCACTATTATATTCAATGAAGAATGTTTCTAAACATTTCAATATTATCCTGGCTAAGTATCATCGCTCTTTCACTATTTTAAGTCTTCGGTATGACCAAATGACACTGCAGAAAATTCAACATCTTTCGAATATTCTTGAAGATAACCGAGTATAAAATACTGTTCTTTCTTGATATTTAGACCATTACAACATTATTCTTGCATAATAATCGAATTGGTTCACACGGAGCAGAATATCTTGCAAATGCTTTACGACAAAATTAAGTAATTCGCTTCGGTTTTAACGTTTCGTAGATAAATTATGTTTTATTCCCTCGACTGAAAGGAGGCTCATACAAAAAAAAAGTTTGTCTGTTTGCCTGTGGCAGGGTCAAAGGTCAAAAAAACATTATTTTCGAAAATGTTCAAAATTTAACAAAATATTGTTTGGAATTCGTTAAAAGGTTAACTGAGCCTAGTTCTCTTTCTCGTACAGAAGAGTCCAATAAACATAAATTGTCTGATTGCTTGCTTGTGTGTCCGCAGGGTCAAAAAAACATCCAAAATCGATTTTTCGGGAAAGATATATTCAGAGGTATTTTGATGTGGAGACTTCAAATCTGATATTAGTTTTCACTGATTAGTAACTGCTACTAATTTAGTAGTAACTTATTAGTAAAAATTACTATTATCAATAAAACTTGACCAAAAGACTTTTTAGATCGAGGAACTCGAATATGATTTCAGTTTTTTGAAACAAAGAGTATCGATTTTCGGAAAAAATATATAACCATAACATATTGGCTATAGTCAAGCGTATCAGTATGATAAATAAAACATTGTTCAATGTCTAGTGACGTAATAATCAATAACTGATCTTCATAAACGAATTTTGAAATAACCTCATATACCTGACAACAAGACTGAACTTCTTCCTGGTCTCTTACCTTTGGTACCAAACATGCCTGTACTTCTCACCAATAACATTGCGTGTGAACTAGGGCTTACGAATGGTACTCAAAGAATTTTTCGAGAGCTTATATACGATGATCAAGAGGATCCGAGCGATTTAAAGATAAAAACGGAGTATTTCCCTCAAATACGATCTACGTACGAAAGCCATTATATGCTCTCGTAGAAATTAATACATCACAAGTAGAAACAAATCTTGATGGACTTCGTCCTAAACTAATTCCTATTCCATTAGTCAAAAAGCAGTTCACTGTTCCTATAAAGCAACTCTTTGGACGTCTACTCGATCGAGTGCAAAGTGAGAAAAAAGTTCCACAATTGATTCAAGTTACACGAACGCAACTGCCAATTGTACCTGCCTTCGCAATAACTACATATAAGGCGCAAGGACTCACAATGAACAAAATCGTAGTCGATCTTCAAGTTCCATTAAGAACATTTCAAGTGGCGTCAGTATATGTACCACTAAGTAGAGTAAAGATAGGCGACGATGTGGCCATTCTTCGACCTTTTGACATGAAAATTCTATAAGTCCGACCTTCTCTTGCTCAAGACGCTGAACTGAAACGTCTAGATGAACTTGACAGAAAGACAAAGCGAGAATGTACCTCTTTCACTTCATAAACATGTATAAATCGAAACTATACTAAGAGTCAAGTGTTATCGCAAGCATATAAAACGTATTATGGTTTGAAATTATCTTAAAATAGTTATTCATTTGTGTACATTTTGTTTAGCTTTTTGTTTGCATGTATGTTAATCATTGCAATAATTGCTCTTTTTCTCTCATTGTATCGGATATTGCCTATCGTGTTTTCTTGGTTTTGTTTTTCGATGTAACCACGCATAATCTGCACAATTATATTGATACTTAATTAGAATATCCGATCTCCTGTCTAACATTTGCTATAAATATATTCTGCTGCTTATATAGAAATATCTTATATACGCAATAGTGTATTAAAAATGTATCATCTAAAAGCAGTCCTTCTACGAGAAAGAGCTGAGCGGGTCTGTCGACGAGCGTTACTTGTTCATAGATATCATTGTAAACACAACTTTCATCTTTCTGTCGTTTCACATAGTTCGATCCAATGGCCGTAAGTTTCTTCTCATAATCATTGCGATTGGTTGACCTCTTCATCAATGTTTCCTTTCCTGGCCATATTATTTTCTTCTGTGTGAGTCTCTTCTCGTTCGTCAGACAAAAGTGAGCAGCTCGTTTCTCCCTCCGCTTGTGTTCATTCATTTATTGATTCAATATGGCAATCTCGGAAGAGGTCATTTTTCTTGACTGGTTCTTCTTCTGCACAATATCTTTCTTCTAGAATCGTGACGAACGTGATGCTGCACAAAAGTTTATTAGCGCGTATGTCGAAATTCGAGCGATGCATCAGTCGTTGGGTTCGACAGAAATTCGAAATATTTTGACGAGTCTTCTGCAGAAAGTCAGTCTTCAGACGGTGAGCCGATTTCTTTTTTCTTTTTAACTGTTGATGTTGTCTACTTTTTCAGGATGTGAACGTGGTTATGACTGAGTTACTGGGAACTGCCGCGTCAGGAAATGTGAATATGCAGCGATCTGATGTGATAAGCAAAATCAGCAGTGTGAGCATGAGATCGTTCTACTTGAATACAATATCACTCAACTGTTTCTAGATCCGAGAGATTCGTGATGCAGTCATCAATTTTATTAAACGCTGTAAGTAGTCCGCTTTTTGTTTACTACATATTTATCACCTTTACTATAGGATGTCGCGTCAATCTTCTCCTACCTGTTTGTGTGTGTACATGTATTCCTCGTCTCCATGTTTCCCGGCTACGGATCCGCACGGAATCCTGCTTCCATGAAATTGTCGGAACGTTCTGGTTCCGGCTCGGATTTTTTGACCTGGGCATCGTTCTCTTCGAGTCCTTATGTGTCTTCGTTATTCCTCATCGCCTTCGTGTCTCTATATATCCAGGTTGTTCATTATGTCTTCTGTTTACTCTTTCTTAGAAATAAAATTCATTCTTATTCATTGGTTGTTGACAGAAAACTGGACTATACATTGAAATTATTCAGGCAAATAAGCCATTTGTTGATCATCGTGGAAATCTCGAAAAAAGTTGAGACACTTGTACACATACCATCCTGGAGGAGGTACTGACAGAAGTATTGTCGCAAAATAAAAGTCACATATTCGGAGACAGCAGAGTGAATAAGCACCATTCTCATCAAGATCTCATGAGCGTATAGTCTGACCATAAGCGGAAAAAATTTTGCCAAAAATTAATGCCTCGTACAGGGGTTCGAACTTATATCGCATAAACACGTGCTCCTATTTACTTGGTTATGTTCGACATTACCATCTTCATTTCCCTCTGGCATGTAATGCTACTGTTGTTCATCAATGAAACGAAATCGATTTAGTGTAGAAATATTAGAGGTAACGTAGAGATAGATGTTTCTTCTCTTTATCTTCAAATTATACGAAAGATAATAAAACAATGAGACCGTGGTCCTACGTACACTTGAAGCCAAGAATGAGAAATGGAGTCAATCCTCACTTCATCGTTTCAATCAAAGACACTAATCAACAGAAGTGTAACAAACAGTTTCGGGTGAGAAGAAAAAGAACGTGATGAGATATATATTTCTAGAAAAAAATTTCTCTTAAACATTGTTCGTTTTCAAACTTTTCTTTGTTTATTTGATCATTTCTGTTTAAACGATGTCTGCTTGTTTTGTCTATGTCATACACCCTCAAGATCGAGATTCTTCTTACTTTTCAACATCGTGCAACAAAGACTTCGAACTAGACCTTGACAGATCTATATAAAAAAATCATTCATCGAATTTGTGTTTGTTTATTCATATCATGGAAATGTATATCTAGATATCAGCTCTTTCCCTAAAATCAATTCGAAAACAAAGTAGGGAAGATCTCTGTTTGAAAAAGACCAGTGCTTTGTTTCGATTGATATCAGAGGTCTTTTCTTTTGTCTCTCTTCAGAAATGCTGAAGATCAAATGATCCACGAATGGTAACATGTGATGATATATTTGAATGTCTCGGATGCGTTCGAGTAATCAGAGAGGAAGAATATCAAGTTACGTTTTTCTTCTCGAAAAATTCACATCTGATTTGACTGGAGAGGAGCAAGGTATGGAATGATAGATCGGCCATTCTTCTGCGTGTGAGCCATTGTGTTTCTCTTCATTCGTTCGAAGTTCAGTCTATATTTCTAGTGACATCTATCCATTGAAATGAAGTCATGTTCACATCAATTTCAAAGGCAAATCTCTTTTTTCTCGAAATGATTTCCGATATATTCTTTCAAGAAAAATCCATGATCTCTCCGATCTCTGAAATAGCTAAGCAACGAAATAGAAAGTAAGAATTTAGTGACACAAATCAAATCAATGAGTTCAGTGAAAATCATTTGTCCACAGATGAATATATACTTTAATCAAAAAACAACATGATACTATTTATTACCAAGAAATTTCGACGTTTCTCTCAGTGAGACAGAGATCTCTATCGAAAAACGGATTTCGAACGCTATAAATTCAGTCTCGACATTTACAAATGGCGCTATAAGCATAATTTTCTGAGCCGTAGTTCTCAAGATTTATCGTGTCACATTACCATTGAATTCATAGATCTCCTTCGAAAATCGTTTTCTTCAATCGTTTGTTCAGTTGGAATATTTGATATTGAAAACAACGAAAAGTGAAAATGAAGGACCACAACGTTCGTATTTATCGAATCGTTGTCATCACAAATCTCGTCCAGTGTCCATTACTGATATTCTACATGAATTATTGAAAAGTCCACTGAGAAATCTGAAAGAAATTTCGATTGGATGTTATTTTGAACGAGACGAAATTAATCTTCAAGGAATTTTATCTCGAATTATTGAAAAATCTGTTTTAATAAAGAAAAAATATTTTATTGAAATTGAAAATTTCCATTCAACTCGATGTGGAAATGTTCAAATCGAATTTTTTTAACCAATGAAAATCAATTGACCTTCACGAAGAAGAAGATTCAAACGCACAACAAACAAAGAAACAAAAATCATTTGTAAATGTGAATTGATCTCGAAAAGATTCTCCGATGATGACTTTGTCTAACCCAGCTCATTTTGAAAGTGATTTATGATACAAATGCATTACAAATTGATGCATCTCAAATTGAACTGAGGAGAATTTTCTTTTACAATGATTTGTTATTTGAATTTGTAAAAATGAATAAATTCTAATTCACCTTGAAGAGAAATCGATATTTCGATTTGTAAAATTCGAAACGAATGGAAAATATATGTGAAGAAAAGAACGTCATTCAATGTCTTTGTGGTTCGAGGACTAATCTTGGTTCAATCGATTCCCCGTCATGTCGTCGGGGAAGATCGAATAAGAAAGAGAGAGAGAGTGTTTCACAGTCGAGGTCTGTCGGATTGTTTTNTCCGATCTCCTATCTAACATTTGCTATAAATATATTCTGCTGCTCATATAGAAATATCTTATATACGCAATAGTGTATTAAAAATGTATCATCTAAAAGCACTCCTTCTACGAGAAAGAGCTGAGCGAGTCTGTCGACGAGCGTTACTTGTTTTTATGTGCCAGGGAAAGTCTTAGATCGAAAACAGACGTTGGCCGCAGCAATAAATTGACTAATATGATAAGATATTATGGATACGCATATGTACACATTAGATATTCTCTGACCTGGAGAGAGAGCCATATGACGACAAATACTGTATATGAGGGTGTGCTTGTGTCAGAGTCAAAAGTCAATATTGATAGTGACTTCACGAATAGAATTCGAAGATCGATGAAGCGAATCGATAACTGTGATGGATTGTGAAATTGACCAATCAGGTATCGCGATCTTTAAAGCTGACAAATTGGATATCTAGGATGAATGAATCAGGAAGCCAGTCATTCAATACGTTATATTATTTAGCTGTGTGAGTCTCTTTCCATAACCTCCAGTAAATGAACGCCAGTTGCTAGATGAAAGGCTTCTTTATCTATGATTTTCCTGAAGTAGCTTGATTGTTTTCGAAGCGTCGAAGAGAAAACCAGTGAAGAGCTAAGCCACTCTGCCTCGGCGAGTATTATCTAATTCTCTAAATGTTTGCAGTTATGGGTAAAGGTGGTTTATTTTTGTCATTAAACTTGTTTTCGTGTTGTGGAATTCGTATTGTGAACTGAAAACTAATGTTATTTTGTATGTGAATATCATCTTCATTCTCGAAATAAAGAACGTTTCAAGAAATCATTTCACTATATGACGTTTATTTTAAAAAAATCAGTCGAGGGTAAAGCGAATCTGCCTCGACGAGCGTTATTTATGTTTATTAGCATAATCGAAAACGTATATTCGAAGTAATTTTTTGTTTTTCAGCAAAAAGTGTACTACATGATTTTTCTCTTGTAAAAGCTGTAGGATTCCCAAGGAAGCAAAATCAAGAAACTGCTTATATACCATTTTGAAGCGGACATGTCCGGGTATATACTCTGCAAAAAAACATCCCCTTGAGTATTCGCTAATATGCCCTTAATTTTGTAGACTACAGGTGGTCTAAAAAAGTAACTGTGGAGTTCATTTTTGAGGGTGGGGATGTACCCCCACCCGTTGTCTATTGAACGGTGAAAACCGCAGATCGCTACGACTTTCCATTCAGGAATTATATACTTTTCTTCAACCGACCTTTTTTAAAAATTCCGATAGTAGTAGTAGTGGACAAGATAGTGGTGTCACTGATGTTCATGCTGTCGTGTGGAGACAATGTTGAAATAAATGAAACCTGTCGTTGTTGATTAAAAATAACAGAGGAAGTGGTGCAGATGGCAAATTATATTCATTTTTTTCCTTTTTGACGAACCACCGGCTTTCACACAAGTCACGACTATGAAATAAGTGATGCAATTTGAGAAAATGTTCCCATCAGCATCAACATGCGCAGCGCCACTATTCTCTATCATCAAATTTTATGAGAGAGATGAAGTCAGACTTTTCTACATATAGACATGTGTAATGAAGTAAGTGCAAATTTAGTGGTTGAAATAAAATAGCTTCTCTATAAAAAGCTCTGAAAATATTCATGTCTACGCGGCCTTGTTAAAGGAAAAATGATTTACTTATCTATATTACCTCATCATATTGTAACTTGTACCATGACAAAAAAGCGTTTGGTATAGGACATGTCGCCTTGTAGGATTAGTTCGTGTAGTCCAAAGTTACTTGCCGCAATCTCCAACTTAAGTATTGTGTTAATAAGCAAGGTGTGGCTCAGAGTGACCGATGATTTTGCTTGGAATTGATCAGATTTCAATTCTAGAGAAAAAAAATGCTGTGATTATACAATAAGTTCATTCTTTTGAAAAATTTGTGCGCACAAACGCAGCAAACATGAAAATATCCATTCATTCAAACACGTTTCTATTTTTTAGCAAAAACGTTGTTTATTTTCGCAACTTTGACCTATGCACCGAATAAGCCTTTTATTGAATTCTCTATACGTGCACTTAGATTGATCGATAAGTGAGTGCGCGAACCAATAGATAAGCCAGGCTTCTCTTATGAGATGACAGTCTTTGAGCCCCGATTTCGAATGAGACCAAATGTTTAGAATAGCGTAACAATATTTGAATATTAGTTAACTTAATAATATTTCAAAAAAAATCATTGGATGATATGACGAGTCGTTTATTTTCACAACTTATTCAACAATAAGCTGAAGCGTTGCACACGATGAATAGGCTACATATAGTTGCCCGATCACGCGGGAAAGTTGACATACAAAAGGCAAACTTCAAAAAGTTCTCCTCGAAACCAATCGTATTCAATTTGTTTTGTTCGCTAGGTAGAACTGAGAGAGGTATAAGTGTAAGTGCAAAAAATGTCTACACTCTCATAGTTATCACTTCAGCAAAAAAAGCATTCTGAAGTTAAGCTCTAAGTTATTTTGAAAACTACTAAGTCAAAGTCGGCTGAAAACCATTTCCTTAGCAAGAATCGAAGCACATCGTGATTTGCTGCACATATCGATTTGTTCCTCTTTCTACAATACATCAGAACCTTAAAAACTGAAAAAGCTTTTGATAGTTCTCCTGGAAGAAGCGTCGATAAGTGCGTGCAGGTATTACAAACGTGCAAAATGTGATCACTAGCGGTAGGAAAGCTGAAAAATAGAATGTGAGAACTAGATAAAGTTGCCAGGAATATTTGATGCACTTGACGCTAAGCAGTATGATGAGTATGGGCAATTTCAAGACAATAACAATTATTGGACTAATGATTAAATGCTTATGTACTTGTATTTGTGTCTGCAGTATTTTGATATATGTTCGTCTCTTTGCTGTACCACTACGCTCTTTCTGTTTCGAGAGCGACACAAGCAACACAATCGTTGATAGTATGTTGATTATGGACGGAGCACTGCTATTGAAAAGGTTCATAACGGCACTATATGTTTGCAGCCACGTGTATTTATACTTGATAACGCACCAGAGACGTGTTGGCGAGCGTGGATCGGATACCAGTGTACGGCTAAATATCTGATGAATTGATGTCAAAGTGAGTATCAAGATCAAAGGCACGGCCATAAACTTGGCAACACGCACGCTCGTTTGCTTATTAAACTGAGTACCCATTACAGAACTGACAGTGCGCTCGCATGCAATGAACGCTGTAAGCCAATCGCATATGAATATGAATAAGTTTAGACTAAAGTCTGAAAGAAGACAGGTAATGTTCAACAAATGACGATTGTCAACTATAGCCATTTGATTGACAAGAAAGTAGATGAAACGACTGAAAAAGATGACTAAACTGACTTCACTGAATATTGACAAGAGCAGTAAATATATACCACATCCTACACTACGCGCATTCCTGTGTAGGAATGTAATCAGAGAGCACACGTTTGATATAGTTCCGAAGACGAACAGAATACTAACAAGAGCCAAAATTATCTGAATCACTAACGGTTGTTTGCTGATAGGCATGTTTGTGATAATGATCTGTCCAAGTATCGAATCAATTGTGAGAGAGTACTGTGTCATCGACAGTTGACAAAATTCTCCGTAATGGCACTCCGGACAAATACATGTGTAGTCCAATTGACCCGATATTTGCTTCTGAAAACATCGACCCCCATTTTCACAATAGTTTCTTTCAATACAACTTGCTACTTGATGATTAACAATGAGACAGTTCCAAGTAGCACCAGCAGCGTCGTCCTCTATGAAACATAAAAATCTTTCGTCGTGGTAACACGTCACATTGACAAGAAATTTAGGGTAAAATTTCACTCGTCTCAACCAATTGTCATGTTTCATTGACGCATTCATGTATTCGTGAACATGCGGACAACGATTTGCAACATTAATAGATGTAGAAAGGTCCGTATAGTTTTTATTCGATGAATAGGCCAGCAAATGGTACGAACCATAGTAGGGCTCGTTTATATCATGGATTAGCTGAGCAATGATAAAAGATGATAGTATCTTCTGACTGTTTTCACGCACCGTTATGCTTGTACCAGGATATATATTGTGACGAAAATCAATACTGCGATGAAGAAGACTTCCCGCAATACTAGGCGGTGCATGAAGGAAATGGATAATCATCAGACGTGTATAGGTCGTTGTCGAAGACATGTACATAGTTAGTTGAGCCTCTGAAAATTGACACAGGTCCCCAAAGTAATGAGTGGGACACTGGCATTGGTATTGCCGTGCGCGTTCATCAAGCGAGATGCAGCCTCCACCGTTTTTACAGTGAACGTTTTTGCAGCTATGTGTGGGTATACGACAATTGATCCCCGTCCAACCAAGAGGACATAAACACAACGCATAGTCGTCTCCTGCAAGTGCAACGCATTTTGATCGAGGATCGCAATGCAATTTCTTACACAAATGATCTAACGACCGATTACAAGCTAGACCAGTCCATCCTCCATCACACTGGCAAAAGTGACGATGGGAATTGACAAATGACTTGCATGTGCCATGTTGGCAAGCTAAGAGGCTGCATGCGGTACTATTCGCTGATTTCCTCTCAATCAACAAGCGAGCAGCCAGTCGATTCACTGGCAGGAATGGAAACTGAACATCATAATACCACGAAAGTAATGATCTCTGGTTGACACCAAAATTCGTCATCTCATACATGTCAATATGTATTGACTTATTCGTTGATAAGGGCCAGAATGACGGATACATTATATAAACAAGATGTTTGTAAATAGATTCTACGCTTGGTGAGACTATTAATAATTCATGCGACAAGACATGATTGTGTTGACTGTCGAGTAAACAGAAGACAAGTTGAAATATTGCATGAAAATTACTGGGTGACAATGTCTCGACGCGGAATGAAATAGTGATTCGATGACTCTGCAGTTCACATTGTTTACCGTAATAAGATGGGGGACAAATACATGCGTCGTATCCATCTTTTTCTCTCAAAAGTATACCACGAAAGCAATGAAAGGCCGCATAAACTGTACTTATGTTTAACTTAACTGAACTAGCGAACAACGGCGAAGTTATCGCTTGTCGTTGTGTCATAAGTTCTGGCGGTACTCGTCGTGCAAACATATCGCAGATCCATTCATCCTCACCTTCTTGGCAATCAATGCGATCGTCACATCGACGTCTGCGAGGGATACAAGTACCATTTTTGCAGGTGAATTCGCTATCACTGCAAGAGGAAGCTAAATGCCAAGGACATAAAAGTTCGTCTTCTCCCATTGGGCACAATTGATCTCGATTGCATAGATCATCTTCAGCTACGTATACAGATGATACATTTGAACATGGTAAAAGATAGGAGTCTCTGACTTTATTTAATCGCCCGCGTTCATCAGTGCTAAAAAGGCAATCAACAACATTGTCAGCAGCTTTCGACACCGGCAAGCAACCCATCGTTGTTTTGTTGAATTTTGCGCAATAATGTTCGTCAGGAGCACAATGACTAATGCGTCGTATGTAAAATATCGGAAAAGGATTCGAACAACCAATTTCGTCGCACCCATCTTTTTTGTCCCATTTGCCGTTACATCTTATTGACCGAGCATTGCATGGCCAATAATCACAATCAGTTTCATCGGTATCTAAATCACCATGTATTTCGAGCCATCTAGGATCGAAAATTTCTTCTCCATTGCATATCTCATCATATACAACAGGAAATAATGAATGAGGCCACAACTGCTTAAACCGAAAATGATTACAATCATATTCCTCTGTGCAACTAATCCCAAATAGTTCATCATCGCCGTCTACACAGTCTAATTGACCATCATTTAGTCCGCGTCTAGGTATGCACACGATTCCTGTTCTGAAACATTGATAACGATTTTCAAAATCCTGATAACAGCTCATCGTAATTATATCCTCATCTCCGTCATTTGTAAAACAATCATAGTAACCATCAAACTGATTGTGCCTTGATATGTGCATTCCATGCGTGCATCGATATAGTGATGGAGCAGTAACAGTGCTGTACGAATGTGAAAAGCCAACTCGAATACTTTGTATGAGTACGACAATATCCCGAAGATTTTTCAGTTCCACTGGTCTCACGCGTTTACTGTATTTGATCGATGATATACATGCGTATCCCTCCATGTCAAAGAATAATTCTTCATCACTTTGGTTCACTTCACTTCGATTAATACAAATAAGTGGCCATTCGTGCCATCCGCGCGCATGAACCTTGTGGCCAAGACGAATGAATGGAAAAACGATTGGATTTAATGGAAACAGAAAGGTGCCCGTGCACGGGTGTGGATTGTTCGAGTCGTAATAATGAACGTCAGTAAGTTCCTCTTCGCTGTCGCTGTCAATAGACTCAAAAAACAAATCGAGACCAAAATCAGCTAGCAGGGTTGAGTAACATTTCTTACTCACAGAAGAGTTCTCTCCGGCATCAAAGGAAAACATTTTCTTTATCAGCAAGCGAACACGCTCTCCACTACATAAAGCACCATTCAAGCCATGTTTTCCTGGAAAGCACTCGCCGTCTCCACACGACAAACGCGATAGACCACACATGTGCTCCTCGCAGTCTACTGAAGGAGATATTACACAGACCATGGTTTTTTCAAACACTTCTTGCTCGTCGTAGAAATCAAGACAATCGAGCGTTAAGTCAAATGAGAACGAGTAAGGAATACAATGACCACTGCGACATCTATACTCGGTGTCAGAATAGCACTCACTTAGTAGCATTTCTTGACAATTTTCTTCATCTTCTCCATTCTCGCAGTCTACGGCACCGTCACAAACTTGACGCCAGTCTAGGCAAAAGTCTGGTATTATTGTTTTACATTGAAGAGCTATGTAACAAGTGATATTGTCCGGTGTTAATGTTCGAATATCTCGGTTCATTGCCGCCTTAAGCGCAAAAGTCTGTTCAACAATATGGTTTAAAGAAAAACCCTCGAATACGAATTGGTATTGGCATCGGTTTCCAAACGAAGATCTATGTGAAGAACAATTACAGTATACTGATTGAGAATTCAATTTTGATGGTAACCATTCTGCGTAGTCGGTAACTATGTCCATTGGTGCATTCCATAAAACAAGATCATCTACACTAACCTTCTGTCGAGTCAACTCATCGAATGTATACAATATTCCATGACAGATCTTAGGCTCGTCTATGTACTTAACTTCTCGCGTACGAATACAATATGGAATCAAATAACGTCCTTTTCCATTAGCGGTGCTTGCGTAACGGTAAATACAACTATGATCTCCATCGATATTAGCTGGGTAATTCGTATGATAGATCTTTAGCTGCTCGAAGTTATTTTGAGCGCGTCCGAAAAGCAACAGCAGTTTCACAATGAGAGCTTTCATATTTTGCTTGCAATTCTCTGTGCAAATGTCATGTTCGAATGCAACATAAATTCGTACACGATGGTAATCAATTAGTTATGTAATATAATCGGATTTGACTGGTTTGACCATGAAAGAATTTGTATGCAGAAAAAATAACATCACTGTCGACAAATGATTGTCACCATATAATAGTATAATTCTCTCTAACTATTCTGTAATAAACGTGTGTATTGCACGATGGATTACAGTCGATTTCAGCATGTCTGCATATTTGCTCATTTATCAAATAAAATAGCGTATGTCTTGCACGTCAGCAATCACAAAGTCGATGCTATATCATGACTAGCGGAGGAATCCATTGGGAACTGAGTATTATCAATGTCGAAAGTATCACGCGCTGAACGACTGCAGCATATAGAAAGATCGATATGCGTCAAATTTCTCCGTTTGCGGTCATCATCTTTACAAAACCACACTTTCAGTTACATTAATATCTCCTTTATCCAAGAGTTACCAAAGATCATTTCTTCGCCAGAAACTATTGAATTGTTTCTTTCACCGAGATTCACCCTCACACCCATGAGAATCCTAAGTGCTATACAAGAAAGGTTCATTATTTTGTTATCGACAGTTGCCGTGGTTTTACAAAATAATTTTGAATCGTCACCTTGTGTAAAAACCTGAATCAACAGCATTATGCGTGATACACATCCTATCACACACCTTTGCATGACTGAGTGGTAAACGGTTTATTTTCAAAGCGTGAATATAAGTGATAGACAACTACACATACTTCTAGACACTAAATAAGTGTAAAAGGCAAAAGAGGAAAACAAGTTAGATTTGAAAGACAGTTGTCATCATGGCGATAAAACATACAACAGAAAAATTGAAGATCTTCGCATTCCAGTTGACAATTCCATTTTTCAGACCTCTACCATTACATGCTGCATTGTTTGGACTTGTTACAGTTATTGTGTTACTGTCAGAACTAAGAACAAGTGAGTTGTTACCACCATTTGTTCAACCGAACAGCAACAAGCTGAGATGCTACATGATGAATTGGTTGTATAGGTGCCCCATCATGCTTGCGAGCGAACTACGCCAAAAACTGAGATTGTGAGAAGAAACACGAATGTTGTATGCTTACTTCTGTTTGTTTAGTAATCAAGTCAAATCCATGGCTCTTATATAAATGTGTGTATGTGTGTCTCCCACGCACTTCGACATCCTCACGTGAGAAGAAACTCGAAGGTATAAACATAAAACAACAAACTTTACGACAAACACTTGCATTCGTTCTTCTTTTCGTTTTTAGTGCAGATAGAGAACGTGGAAAGAGAATCTTCGGTAGCATTTTAAGTGAAAAATTAAATGATCTCTACAGCAAAATACTACCCAGGTTATTATGGCACGGTCGGTTCCGGCCGGAAGTTCAGACGTAGGTTCCAGTCATTTCCCGACCGTTTCCTGCAAACTTCGAGCTGGAAACGGTCAGGAACTGATCGGATATTTCCTGTGCAATTCCGACCGGAATCCGGCGGCAAGGAACCTGCCGGAACTTGCTGGATTCGGCAAAAACTGTGCCGGAATCGAAGCTTCTCAAAAGAGATACTTTTTAATTAAATCGTTCGCTATTTAATGAATGCATTGGCTATTTAAATATCTCAAAAGAGATACTTTCTAATGAGATCTAGCTATTTAAATAACGTGTAGCTATTTAATGACTTTCATTGAGCTGTATTTTTTAATTCTAATGAAGAAATGAGGAAAACAAAGAAATCCTCGATTTCAAGAATTCAACAGATATTTTGACTTTTTTTTCTTCTGAATTGAAAGCAGCAATTTCATAAAGTAAACAGTTAATAGAAGACAATCTAAATCTTCACAACATACATTTCAACGTTCTTAGGATTACGAACGATATTTGTACAAATGAAATCTGCGGCGATCACGTCTTTTATTAGCGTCTTTTCGAATGAATATAGAAAGAAAGTCGGAATACAAGTTGTTGTTTTTTTGTTACGAAACAACCAGATCACGAACAAAAAAAGAGATGCTTTCGTTTGATTAACGGACAAGTATCTTCAGAACACTAGTTTACAGACTTTGTTAATCATATAACTCTATATTCAAATTCATTTTACTGGTAAAACAAAAGATGATTACCTCGGATATATATCGCCATAAGCATTGCGCCCATAGGAAAACAAACGATATGTTTTTTTTTTCGTTTAAGATTGTTTACGTTTCTTTCGACAATTGCACAACGAATGAAAAAAAAT